CATAATAATAATAATAATAATAATAATAATAATAATAATAATAATAATAATAATAATAATAATAATAATAATAATAATAATAATAATAATAATAATAATAATAATAATAATAATAAATTACAACCCACCCCCCTGAGGTATGACGAAATTACAAAAAACCCCCTCTTGTTTGGATAATTACAACCACCCCTCAACCCTCAAATTTAGTGTAATCTTCGAGATTATATGGAATATTATTACTTTTGTACCCGTTGTATCCCATTCGAACTTTACATTTTGAAGCAAAATGATCATAATATGTGTTTTTTGGCTTGTATATATATATATATATCAGATTGTGGTGCATCAGAAATTATTTTTTATACAAAACGAGTACAAACTAGAGCACATTCCACGGAATATAGATGATTATGTTGAATTTGACGCCATAAGGGTGGAGGTGTAAGAAAAAAAATATAGTTTATGGTAGATGTAATTATCCAAACAAGACGGTTTTTTTTGTAAATTGACCATACATCAGGGGTATTTGTAATTTATCCTAATAATAATAATAGGGTAAATTCCACTTTACCCCCTCGTACTCTGCCTGAGAGTCACTTTACCCCCTCGTACTCTCAATTTTATCGATTTACCCCCTTGTACTTGTACAATTTCCCAATACAGCCCTTTCCTTCAATTTTTGTCAATTTTGACTCTAACGCCATTTGGTCAACTCTATAAATTACAAAATTGCCACTGTCTATAACGCGTCGTTTCTCCTTCGTCAATATTGTCATTTCTTCTTCTGGCACCACTTCCCCTTCCAAGATATCCCCAAATTGAACCCCTAACTTAGTAAAAATTAAGACCCAAAAATTGATCGATTCCACCCAGTGCAACGAAAAAACTATATGAATGTGTGAAACTTTCTCTTTTCTAATCTCGAGAGTCAAAATCGAAAAAATTCAATATTTATGTCAATATTTTGACTCTTGACCAAATGGCGTCAGAGTCAAAATCGAAAAAAGTTAACGAAAAGGGTTGTATTGGAAAATTGTACAAGTACAAGGGGGTAAATCGACGAAATTAAGAGTACGAGGGGGTAAAGTGGTTCTTGGCCAGAGTAAAGGGGGTAAAGTGGAATTTACCCATAATAATAATAATAATAATAATGCGGCAACGACCACACTATCGATTACGTTGGTTTAATTATAAATTTGAGATAATGGAATAAAAGTGTTGAATTTATGAAACGTGAAGGACCAAATATGTATTTTATAAATATAGAGGACCAAATGTGGAATCAGTTCAAATTTGAAGGATCAAAACTGTATTTTTCCCGAAATTAGCTTTCGCCCTTTAGCCGCCATTTACAAACATCTCTCCAATCAACCCTATTATTTAAATACAGAGTGGACCCTAAAGAAAAATGCAAGTCTTTGTTGTTTTTACTTCCTCATTTTCTCATCCATTCAAATGGGATTAGGAATCAAATCCTGTGTTTCCAATCTTTGGTTTTCTAGATTGTGAATCTGTCAAATCTTTATTAATTAAAACTTCTGGGTTTTTTTTTTCTTTTAATTATTTTATTGTTGTAAAAAAAGAAGAAAAAAAAAATGCAATCTTTTTCCCATTTCTTGAAATGTTCTTGATTCTTTTTTTTTTTCTTTTTCTTTTTCTTTTTTTTTTGTGTGTAAAAAAAAAAAGAAGTGTTGGATATGTTAGGATCAGGAATGAATCTGATTACAACCATAATTGGATTTGGGATGAGTGCAACTTTCATAGTATTTGTTTGTACTAGGTTGATTTGTGGGAGGATTCGCCGTTTGGAAGCTCAACACATGTTAGAGATTGACTCAAGAATTGATCTTGAGCTGGTATGGATATATTTTTATTTTTTTTTAATTTTTAATTTAGCAAGATTCTTGTGGATTTAGATATGATTTATCGATGCTAATCTCTTCGTATTAGGGGCTAATTAATTATCTACCGCAGTATTAGTAGTGTCGTTCGTATACGACGAGCTAGCTTAATCGTTAGTCTTGCGTCGTCTTGATTGTTGATCGATCCCACCTTGTTGAAAGTTGTTCTATTAGTGAAATATAGTCACTTCGTAAAATTATTTAGTACTACATATTTCGTAAAGATTCTTACGGGTATCGATAATAATAACAAAAAGTTATATAAAGTATTATATCTTTAAGAAGAATTTGGGGCTATGGCCCCCGTTGACATATGCTGGCTCCGTCACTGTATATTTTGAGTAAAATGAGAGCAAGAGTTTTGTTGATTTAGATATGGTTTTGTTCGATGCTAATCTCTTCGGATTAGGGTTAATTATGAGTTTGACCTATACGATTCTATATCAAATCATTTAGTACTAAATACAGTAGAACCTCGATAATTTAATAACCTCACTTAAATAATAGTTTCTTCTGGTCCCGACTCGGTAAAAACCTATTAAATTATTAGTTCAATAATTTAATATTTCTCTAAATTAATAGAATTTTGCTAGTCCCGATTGTATTAATTTATAGAGATTTAGCAGTAAATGGTAAAAAAATTCTTATGTGGTGGGGGGAGGGCGGTGTAATAATAACAATATTTATATAAAGTACTATATCTTCAAGAAAAAAATGGGGGGCCATGGCCCCCATTACCATATGCTGGTTTCGTCACTGTATATTTTGAATAAGATAAGAGCAAGAGTTTTGTCGATTTAGATATGGCTTTTTTATTCGCAGCAAGAACACCGGATTATTAACGGTCTTGAACCGGTAGTAGTTGCCGCGATTCCCACGATGAAGTTCGATCGCGAAGCGTTCAGTACGATGGAAGACGCACAGTAAGTCGTCTTTATCGACTAGTATAAATTCGGATCATATTTATTTATCGAAGATATATTTATTTATTTCGAAATACAGATGCGCGATATGTTTGTCGGAGTACCAAGAGAAAGAAGTGTTGAGAATTATGCCGAAATGCGGGCACAGTTTTCATCTCTCATGTATCGACGTGTGGCTCAGAAAACAGTCAACCTGTCCGGTGTGCCGTCTTTCGTTACATGAATCTGTCGATTCTATTTCCGTTGAACCGGCCTCGGAAGTTACTATAGAAACAACTTCCAGGTCATCATAGAAGAGAATTACTTCTTCCTTTTTTTTTTCTTTTTAAATTTTAATTTTCCGTTTTTTTCCGATGATTTATAGTAACAGGATCAAGATTTTATAGCAGTTGTTAGACAGAATCTCTGTATATAAATTTGTGTTGTACGAGGTTAGCTGATTTGTTTCATATGTTGTTGGTTTTAAGGAAGAATGTTAGAAGGGAATATTTTATGTATGTATATAAATTTATAATGTGTATACATTGTCATTAATAAATACATTCAACATCATGCTCTGTTTTGCATAAGAATCTTCTTCATATTCAGTGTCAAATTAATACTGGGTAATTTACAACCACCTTCTTGAGATAAAGTTGATTTACGGAAAAACTCATCATTTTTGAGAAATTACACCCAAATCTCTGTAGTTTGTAAAATTTCTTACATCCACCCCTACAAAAGGGTGTTAATGCAAGAAATCTACAAATTTCAAGGGAGTATGTAATTATGGAAAAATGAGGAATTTCTTTTTGTAAATAGAGTTTACCTCATGAAACGGTTGTAAGAAAATACATCACTATTTAAGAAAAAACAATTTTCACTACGGATTTGGGAAATTATAATGAAAAAAATTATGATAATAGAAGCGGAATAAATAAAATTTGAGTCCAAATTCCATGTGATTTTTGTTTCATTTCTTTTTATTTATTTTTTTGTTATGAGGATTAGTTTTTTTCTTTAAAATTTGAATTTTTGTGAAAATGCTAATTTTGATTTGAAACTTTCATTTCTCACACATAAATATTAGTCCAACAAATAATTTTCTACTATTATTATTGACATTAACAATAAAAATATGTATTGTAATTAATGAAGAAAATATATGGAGAGGGTGTGATTGAATACCATATTTTATTAAAGGGTGTGATTGTCAAATTTCATAATTCATGGAGGGTAAATGCCAAAATTTTAAATATTTGGGGTGTAGTTGCCAAAACGACAGAATCTAGGGGAAGAGAATGCAAATATATTTATTTAATTTAACAAATCATCAAAATAACTAAAAAAAAACAAAAATTACCACCAAAGAAGAAGGCCTACCGGCAATCAATTACGAACCCCATAATCGATCCCTTTCCACTCTGAAAATTTCCCGTGCACACCAATTGTTTGTAAAAATTCCCCAGAGAAAGCAGAAGCCGCCGCAAAAACAACTCCCGTTCATTCATTCAATCGCCGACCCACCAGAAAATGCAGTAATCACCGGATCGTTATCGATTAAAAAACGAAAAAAAATTGATTGATGGATCCGAGCGAAGATGTGCCGGATGGAACGGTGCAGAATGTTCTGGAGCAAGAGACGCTGAAGTGGGTGTTCGTCGGAGGAAAAGGCGGCGTGGGTAAGACGACGTGCAGCTCGATTCTGTCGATCCTACTCGCGCGAGTGAGATCCTCCGTGCTCATCATTTCCACAGACCCTGCTCATAATCTCAGCGATGCTTTCCAGCAAAGGTTTACCAAGACCCCCACCCTCGTTACTGGTTTTTCGAACCTTTACGCCATGGTTAGGGCATTCTCTCTCTCTCTCTCTCTCTCTCTCTCTCTCTCTCTCTCTCTCTCTCTCTCTCTCTCTCTCTCTCTCTCTCTCTTAATTGGGTTCGATTTTTTTTTAATTGGGTTGTGTTTCTATTGGGGATTGCAATCTTTTCAATTTGTAAAATGGGGATGTATATAATGTTTGTGGACATGTTTTATATATCGAAATCATTTTGTATCTAATGTTTGAATTGATGAAGAGATTATAATGTTTATAGGAAGTCGACCCGAACGTGGAACACGAAGAAGGTAGTTCGGATATGAACGACGGATTCATGTCGGATTTAGCTAATTCCATACCCGGAATTGACGAGGCTATGAGTTTTGCCGAAATGCTCAAGTTCGTTTTTTTCCTTCGTATAATTTCATTCATCATCGTCATCATCAAATTGATAATTCTACTTTTTTTTTTTTTTGCAGGCTAGTGCAGACTATGGATTATTCGGTTATCGTGTTCGATACAGCTCCGACTGGTCATACGCTTCGTCTGTTACAATTCCCGTCAACTTTAGAGAAAGGGCTCGCCAAAATGATGAGTTTGAAGAGTAAATTCGGCGGATTATTGAGCCAGGTAATAAATATATCACACGAACTTTATCGTGAAAACGAATTCAGCGAACCTTTTATTAATTTTTGTGGGTGATGATAATATTACAGATGACTCGACTTTTTGGTGTTGGAGATGATTTTGGCGAAGATGACATACTCGGAAAACTCGAAGGCATGAAAGATGTGATTCAACAAGTCAACAGACAGTTTAAAGATCCCGTAAGACTTTTATTTTATTGCCACCTGTTGTTATTATAACTAACAAGAATTCGAGATGAAAACACGGGGGGCCCGATTTTGAATCAAGCGTATGAAAGGAATATTTAGTCAAAAGCTTAACCATTATTATTACACAATCCTACGGAGGGTATTTACCCTATTATACAGAGAGTGTATAATCACTAATCCCAATAAGATTTTGCCGTTTCTTCGATCTCCCTGAAGTTGTATTGAGTCTATCGATTATATTTTCGGTATTTTTTTTTATTACTTCACATTTACTGAGCAAACTTTCGTGATGCGTTGCTCCTCTTTTTTCTTTTCTTTTGTTTCTTGGCAGGATTTGACAACATTTGTGTGTGTTTGCATTCCGGAATTCCTGTCTCTGTATGAAACTGAAAGACTAGTTCAGGAGCTTACTAGATTTGAGATAGATACGCATAATATCCTGATTAACCAAGTCATTTTCGATGAAGAAGGTCCCCTCTCTCTCTCTCTCTCTCATGTTTCCAATTAATTAAATTCCCTCGTGTTATAATATTAGCAAAAGAGCCCCTATGACGCAATTCTTTTAACACACAACCCCTAATGGTGCAATTTTACGGGGTAATTTGCTAATAAAATTGAATCATAGGGGGAATTTGGCTAATATTTATAGCACAAGGACTTTTTGACAATTACAATAAACACATGGGTGCTAAATGCAATAAACCGTAATTACACTTATACAAGCACTTGACATGTTTTTTTTTTTTTTTTTTAGTCGTTGAATCGAAATTGCTCAAAGCTAGAATGCAAATGCAACAGAAGTACCTGGACCAGTTCTACGTGTTGTACGACGATTTCCACATAACCAAGCTGCCTTTGCTGCCCCAAGAGGTATTTAAATTAAAATTATCTCGATAATTTTTTTTTAACGTATAATAGAAAAGCCGAAATTAAATAATTGTGTAAACAGGTTTGTGGAATTGAAGCATTGCAAGCATTTTCACGGAATTTTGTAACGCCATATCAAGCGTCCATTGTTCGAGGAACGGTAGAAGAGGTGGATCAAAGAGTATCGGTACTGAAAGAACAGCTGGCGGATGCTGAAGCTGAACTCGAAAAACTCAAGAAGGGGAAACAAAAGATTTGATCAAGAAAAACAAATTATTGCAAGATTTTTTTTCGGTATGTGTAGTTCATTTATTGTCAGGAGCGAATAATTTTTTATTTATTTTTAATTTTTATTCTTTTCCGATTTTTAGAAGGAAATAAGTGAGAACATGGTTCTCCAAAAGGGTTGGGATCAGTTTATCTAACCAAGATATTATGATGGTATAATACTCAGGGTTGAAAGATCGACGGTACTCTTTTTCGGTTCCGTAGTTTATTGTTAAGATTTATCCTATTTTCGATACGAAAAGTTCTGAAATTGTTTCTGGAAACAAAATGGGAATTAGTTTTCTATTTCTGAATTTTTTTTTTAACTTTTTTTTTTGGGGAAATTACAGTTTTTGTCCCTCAAGTTTGCACAAATTTCACATTTGGTCTTCCATGTTCACAAAGAAACACATTTGGTCCCTCATGTTCCAATAATTTAACATTTTTTGTCATTTCCGTCAATTTACCGTCAGTCCGTTAGTTAAGACAGTTATGGACACACGCTTGATTCCGTTAGTTTTAACGGGAAATTGACGGAAATGACTAAAAATGTTGTGTATTTTTAAAACATAATGGATCAAATGTATTTTTTGTAAACATGGGGAACTAAATGTGAAATCGTTGCAAACTTGAGGGACAGAAACTGTATTTTTCCCTTTTTTTTTTTTTCTTTCAAATTTTGATCTGATCCATCCAATTTTTTATTGCTACCTGCAATTGTTGCAAGTTCATCTAAATACCTTTTTTATTTCAACTATCAACATTCTTAATACATATGAAGAACAATGTACACAATACAAACAAACAACAATGTAATAAAATCTACAACATACAAATAATACCATATATATATATATATATATATGCATTAATCAGCCCAAGGATTATAAATGGCAATAGGACTCCTAACACTATACTTAGAGCTTCTCCAAATCAATGAACCCGATAAAATCACCGCACTTTTCATCGGTTTCGCCTTCACCACAACTCTAAAGCTTCTCCTGCGATTCCCCTTCGAAAAAAAGAGACTCATCGGTTTCACACTTATCTCCACTCCAACCGGAGCTTTAATAGTGGCATTAAAAACCGACTCTGCGGGTCCCACATTAGTGACCCTCCTACGGAAAACACCCACCGTCGGCTCTTGATCGCTCTTCAAGGCTAGTTGCATCGTGGGATAGTTTATTGCATCTTCACCGTTCGAAGGGAGTAAATTCGAGCAATTTATTGGGCTTTGATTGATTAAACTCCCGATTAATGATCCGTTGTAGCCCTCGTGGCATAGGAATTGAATGTATGACATGTCGTCCATGTCGTATATTAAACCGGGGTTAATTGCCTTGGTTGGATTAACTTGTCCCGACCCGTACGCGAATTCCGCATCCTTCTCCACCTTCGAACTCATTGGTGTTGCTGTATATATATATATATATATATATATATATATATATATATATATATATATATATATATACACACACACACAAGAATTAAATTAGTTCATAGATTTAAGAGGGAATTTTGAAGGTGTGACTTGCGATTTTTAATCGAATTAAATTACCCGTAGTCATGAGGGCCGATTTAATTGCAGCCGGAGACCAATTAGGACGGAACGATTTTACGTAGGCCGCGGCCCCTCCGACATGTGGACAAGCCATCGAGGTACCGGACATGAATGTGAACTTGGAATATTGCGTGTCGCCTTTTAACCCGGTCAGCGATTTCAACGGTGTGTACGATGCTAGTATATCGATTCCGGGCGCCGTTATATCCGGCTATTCATTTCATTATTTTGTCACCCCGAAAAATAATTAAAAAAAATAATAAATATATATAAAAATAATATTTTTTTTTGTAAATTTATATTACCTTAAGAAGGTGGTGTGATCCAGGATTTGGACCTCTAGAAGAAAATGAAGCTACCAAAGGAGCTGCAATTTTGATTTCTTCTGATTTATGTATTACTGCAGATGGTGTTCTGTAATTAAAAAAATAACATTATAATTATTTATAATTTAAATTTTTTTATTTTTTATGTTAATTTAATTAATTTATTTTTTACTTTGTTGAGTGAATATAATCACTGATTTTTTTTCCTGTGGTGGAATTGATCATAGTTCCAGGTGTCATGAAAATTTGGGCGGCATCAAGAAACGAATCGCTCTCGATTAGGGTTCCGACACCTCCGAGACCTTTGATGACGGAATCGGTACCCCAAGAACCGAGTTTGCAATAAACAAGTTTTCCCTTCACTTTCTTAGGATCCATTGAATTTTCAAGACAATACCTTCATCACACAAAAATAACATATTTCAATCCATGTAATAATTTATTTTTTTAAATCATCTATATATATATATATATATATATATATATATATATATATATATATATATATATATATATATATACCTTGAGGAATCCTTGGAATCAGAGTTCTTGGCTACATCAATCCCATTTGCAAGAGGATACAAGTTTTGCTTTGGATCAAATAGGCTTACTCCAATTCCCTGAAATCATACAATTTTTTTTAATGAATTTAGACACAAATATTAATAGTAAAAGGGCTTTTTAACAATTAAAGTAAACACAAGGGTGCTGAATGCAATTAGTTAAGCCAGTTATATATACAGTAGAACATCGATAAATTAATAACCTCGCTTAAATAATAAAATTTTTCGGTCCCAACTCGGTGATAATAATGTGGAAAATTATTAACTTGATAATTTAATATTTCGCTAAATTAATAGAATTTCTCTAGTTCTTACTGTATTGTATTAGTTTATAGATGTTCAACTGAGATGCAAATCTTGTGCTATATTTAATATAATTTCTTTAATAAAAAACTATGAAAAAAAACCTTACCGACACAATCGCCCCATTGCCCAACACCACTTTACTCCTCAACTGCCGATCGATCCCATTAGCCGCGACGGTCAAAATCCACGGCGCGTGATTCGCAACACTCCCATGGCCCGGCCCGTCATTGCCAGCCGAAGCCACCGTTAAAATCCCTTTCCTCATAGCATGAAAAGCACCAACGGCTATAGAATCCGAAGTGTAACTTCCCGAAAGGCCCCCGATCGAAATGGATATTACGTCGACGCCATCACTTATTGCGGCATCGAACGCTGCGAGAATGTCCATGTCAGCACAGCCAGTGGTTGCCCAACAGACTTTGTACATGGCCACTCGGGCTGAAGGAACGGCCCCACGGGCCGTTCCCTCTGCAAGCCCGTAAAGGTTTGCGTTCGGAACTAGGGCTCCGGCTAGGGTTGAAGAGGTGTGGGTTCCGTGTCCATCGACGTCTATAGGCGATAGTATATCGTTTGGATCGGGTTGTTTATCTAGCTTGAAGTACTTTGCTCCTATAAGCTTGCTTCATAAGCCACAAGAAGAAAATAATCAATATTAAAATTTCACCCTTGCAATCAATTTTTAAGGTTAATCGAAACTTGTGTTATCGAAAGTGGCTAAGCTAGGGGTGAAAATCGAAAGTATCGGAGCATAATCAATATTTTTCTAATAAATTTATTTTTTTTGTTTTCAAAAGTTAAAATTAGTTCCAATTCCATTCCAAGTTTTCAGAAAATTAGGAATTATTTTCTTCTTTTTCCTGAAATTGTAGATTCTCGGATAAGAAATCGTTGGATTTGATTTTTTTTTCTTTATCCATCTATAAATATAAAATAAATCATAACTATAATTTTAGGGAGCAAAAAAAAAAAATTCAAAATTTTATAATTGTTCTCGAAAAATAAATTGTTATCGGAATTGACAATCACATCTATAATTCAAATTCCAATCGAAAACCAGGATCTCAAAAATTGGAATGCAAAATAGTATTTCAAAATCGGAATTTTTCGAACTGAAATTGGCTGGCAGAATTTAAAAATTTCTTTCCAATTTCCACCTCTCGATGCAGCCAAAATTTACTTCTATACTGGCCAAATATGCACTATTTTATTTTTTTGTATCTTTATATAAATAAATATATATATATATATGTATATATTACTTGTTGCATCCTGAAAAATTGGCAAAGTGGGCACAAGTTCCTTTCCATTTAGCAGGTGGAGGACCAAAACCTTCATCCTTAAAGCTCTCAGATTCTGGAGTTATACCTGTTACATATATAATAATGATTCCCTCATGAAGGTACAAACATAACAGCATACGGTACTACACCCCGTCGACCCGTTTTTTTTCCTTATCTAAAGGGCATTTTAGTAATTTTACCTGTGTCAAGAAGTCCGACTATTATGTTACTCTCGATTTCCAAGTTCCTTTTTGAGGTTGGTTTTAGGCCAATGAACTCCCACGATTTCGTCGTGTCTAGTTTGTGGTACCGGTTCGGAAAAATCGATACCACTTCTTCCATATCTAGAATTTTTTTTCCATAAGAATTAAAATAATAATAATAATAATAATAATAAAATATATATAATTATTAGACACATTATAGTATAACATACTTGATAATTTTGTGGCTTCATCTTGAGAAAGCTTTGCTGCAAATGCATTGAAACTTTTTGTGTAGCTATACACAAGGGATTTTGTGGCATCATTTTCACTATATATATATGCCAAAAAAATTAAACACATCATATTAAATCATATTTAAAAAAAAATTATATTATATAATTGTGGATAAAACAAACCTTCCCTTTAAGGACGAGAGCAGATTGAGATGAGTCTCGTGTGTCAATCTGTGATTCGCCGGTTGATCTTTCAAGAAAACAATGTAAAACTCCTGCAATTGATTCAAATTCATCGTACAAAACTCACAGAGAAACACGCACAAAAACACACAATCAGGGAGATAACTATGTATATATTAATTTCCTCACATTCCCATTTGCAAATAAAGCACTTGCGGCAAAGACGAGGTAGAGTAAGAGACGAGGCGATTGAAGCGAATTATTTCTCGACATTATAGCTCGATTTTCGACCAAGAAGACATGTAGTAATATATGTGCATGTATGTACTAACAAGATTTTTACATATAAATAGGATGATTTTCCAACAATAATATGATGAAGTAATAATAATCAAGAATATATACTTTAGCTTAACTCCTTAGTCATATGTTGAAAGGTGATTTTGGATTGAGTTATCTTAGAAGAAAGATGTACAAAAGTTACATTGTTTAATTTCATTTGAGAGCGGTGTTTGTCTAAGCTTATAAGCTGTTAAAAAGAACTTATAAGATGCTTAGCAAGAACTTATGAGATACTTAAGAGCTTATAAGCTGTTACAAGTTGTTCTAAAAGTGTTGGGTAATTTTAATTATTCATACATAATAAATGAGTTGCTTGGATTAAAATGCAAGGGTAGAATTTTGCCCCTTTGATTTCAGTGATAGCAAATATAAAATAAATAAATAAATAAGAAGCTAGCTTAAACTTTTATGAAAGTGGCTTGTTGAGATAGAATTTCAGTGTTTAGTTTGTTTGAAGCAAAGATCTCTTTACCAATTAGTCAACGGTCAAAATGACGAGATTAAAAATTGAAACGACGACGTATAATATAATGAATGCAAATTTGGGCTTAAGTTTGACGGACCAATGTTTAATTTGGGCCGTTAAATTAGAAGATGTGGGCCCTTCAATTTGACGGAGTTAAACATGAGCTACATATTCAACTTTATTCCGATTTTTTAGTAAAATATTATTATTAAATTTAGACTACTACTAAAAACACTATTTTCACAATATAACTAAATTAAATACCTTTTTATCAAATTCTCTCTCTAGTAATTATATGTTTTGTTTTCGGGAATCAATATTAGGTATAATTTATGAGTAACTGAGAGCAAATTTTGAAACAAGATCGTAATTAATCGATGCATCATTGAAATTCTAAAATATACTTCCTCTGTCCTTTATTATATGTCTTTTCGGAGTGTTTTTTTTTTCCCCAAATTATTTGTCATTTTAGAGTTCCAATAAGGTATTAATTGCATTTTTATCAATTTTGTCTTTTATCACTATTAATTAGTTAATTAAAAATAATTAATGACAAGGGTATTTTAGTATTTACTATGCTATTTTTAGTATACTTTATACATATTTTTATTTACTATCTTAATCTACGTGTAACCATAAAAAACGACATATAAAAGAGACGGAGGGAGTAACAAACAACAATTAATAAATATAAAAATGGATGGATATTACATCAAATGCCATTTATATTTTATAATTAATGCACTTCACAAATTTCTTTGATGACTAAAAATCATGAAGTGCAAGTAAAAGTCTCAATCTCAAAATAATATCCCCAAAAGTCAAACCAACAAAAGCCAAATTTTAAATAAGTGAAATGGCAAAAATATATTAACTTGCAAAACATATTTCAAAGGATTAATTAAATCCAGAATTAATTAAGTATCCATTGGACCCTTCTCCAATATTATAGCGATGGTACCTGCACAATGTCACAACATATTCATCAAATTTCCCTTTATTTTATTTAGGGTAAATGACACATACACCCCTAATATATGCTAAAATATCTTTAAGGTCTCTGTAGTATGGGTTATTACTGCCACACCCCTAAAACTAACAGTCCGTTAAAACCATAACAGCATAACTTATCCAATGCATTGTTCTGTTAGGGCTTCTAACAATGTTTGAACTGGGTGATTACAATTACCGATACTACAGGGACCTTAAAGTTATTTTAGCATACCTCAGGGGTGTAGGTGTAATTTACCCCTTTTTTTAAATCATATTATATAAGTTATACATACCCTATTTGCAGAAAAGGCTCTGGTTCAATTTCCATTGGATTTGAAGACTGAATTTGGAGAGGAAAGCTGATAGTTTCAGATGTTGAGCCTTGAATATTCCATGAAGACGGAAATGCTCGTAAACTTTGTCCCTCGGCCTCGATCTGCAAATTCCGAAGGGTTTTTTTTTAATTAATTATACTCTCGATTACTTAAATAAATAAATAAAGACGTTTAACGCTACAAATTAAAAAAAAATTATTTATACCGACGACATTTCCATGGAAACCTTAATCTTGAGCTGCTTGTTCATATCTCCAAGTTCGCGCTCCTGCATGGTTTTTTTCAAAAATATATGTAATTAACAATACGTTCCTTAATCAAGAAAACGAAAAGAATTTCAATTGTTTTACGAAAAATCATTTATAAATATTCTAATTGTTTTTTTCCCATGTAAACTATTGAGTGGATACCCTAAAAGTATTAAAATTTCTGAAAAATTTATAATCGATTAAATTTAGGAAGCTAGCTCGTCGGTTTCTTAAAGACGAAACGAAATTTACCTTTCTGCGCAGCTCTTCCATTTGTTCCATCAAAATCTGCGTCTACATAATACAAAAGAAATTACTTAGACTAAATGGTAAAGATTCATTTCATTTGAATAATAACTAGTATAATAAAAACAAATTAAAAATTAAAAATTAAAAATTAAAAATTAAAAATTAAAAATTAAAAATTAAAAATTAAAATTAAAAATTAAAAATTAAAATTAAAATAGTACCTTCCTCTGCCTGGCCTGAGAAAGAGCTACTTCAAGCTGTTTTTCAAGATTATGTAACTCCTTAATACTCAGTGGTCCTAGATCTTCTCCCAACAAGTGCCTTCAACAATTTAATTATATACATTTCAATATATATATATATATATATACACACACACACACACACACACACACACACACACATGATTATATATTGATTAGTCCAAATAAAAACATTGATTAAAGATTATAACAGCCCATCTATCTAATAGCAATAGCCAATATGCAACAACAAATTAATTAAATATTGTTAAAATGTGACATTTTCTTGATACATATATTATACGTATTTCATTATCGGTTTTCGTTTTATTTTATGTAATCAATAAAAACAAATCGAAAAGTATGATAATAATATTTAATTTTGGAATAATAGTACTATGGTGTGAAGAAAAATGGATTGATTAAAGACCTTTGAGTTCGTTGAAGGGAGTCGTATTTTGCCTTCAATTTCGAGACCTCCTGGAACCAACTCTGCATCGACGCAGAAAAAATCGAGAAAAAAGAAACAAACTAGTTTAGTTTAACCAATTGACAATAATTAATAACCAAATTAATTGATTAATATTAATTAATTAACCTGTGATTCTCTATCAGCACTGTTTTCTGGAGGATTAAAGCAACAATGCTGGTATCGCTCGAGCGTCTTCGTCGTGCTGCCAAAAAGAAAAATAAAAATAAAAAAGCCCTTATGTAAATCAAGAATCAAACATTGCCCTAGTCTCGTATGAAATGGATTTCAGTCAAAGTTAATCGATACGCGATTAGAGACCGTTCGTTAAAAGCTCGTTTGACTCGGTTTAATTTCTTTAAATGATGATAATTCCACTACCTAGAAAGTGTACTATATATCCAGCAGAAAACCAAGAAAAAAAAATATGGAAGAAAGTAGAAAAAAATTCAATCTTTAACAACTCTCTCTCTCTCTCTCTCTCTCTCTCTCTCTCTCTCTCTCTCTCTCAAGTAGATACAAGATAGAGCTAAATACAAGATAGAGCTAAATATATATTTGGACATGGCTAGGTAAGAATAAATCTGGGATTCAGAAAGGTAAAGAAAAACTTGCATCAATTATTGAAACAAACTCAAATCATTTGCTGACAAAGAAAAATAAATTAGTAAAAAATGTTTCACTAAATCATGTAATAAAAATAAATTCTTGCCTGAAAGCCTGAAATTCAGATTTCCCAAAGCAAAAAACAAAAACTACATAAAAGCCTCAGACACCCTAGTTTTCCTCTCAAAATATGCAAGAATTATTATTTATTTATTTTTTAATTTTTTTAATTTCAAGAATATAATCATAGTTTATTATTATTACAAAGAACAGTGGAAAAACCGGAAGATCTAAGGATGAAAAGAAAAGAAGACAAAATTCTGAAGATTCTTAGAGAGAGAGAGAGAAAAAAAAGAAGAGAGAGAAAACCCTAGATCTTGCACAGAGGTCCAAAAGGGGTTTGAAAATATTACCATCTTACAAAAACAACACACAAAACCTCTTCAGTCAGTCTTTCTTTTCCCCAAATGGGATTCTCAAAAAATAAATAAAAATCAAATCTTGATGAAACCCATCATCAAGAACACTAATTAAAAAAAAAAAAAAAAAAAAAAAAAAAACTCAATTCCCCAAAACTAAAAACCACTGGAAAATGACAACAAAATTACAAAAGAAAAGAAAAGCTAATAAAAAAAAAAATTGAAGGGCTAGTCTGTAAATAAGATAGTTCTCAGTAACAGAAAGTCCCAGTTTTTCTTGCATGGCTTGTATATATGTATGTATGTATATATATGTATGTATGTATAGATGGATACCTAGTACTTCCGAACTCATAGAGTTTGCCACGGCTAGAGAAAATGATTAGGGCAACCTCAGCATCACAAAGAACAGAGAGTTCATAAGCTTTCTTGAGAAGACCATTTCTTCTCTTTGAAAATGTAACCTGTCTGTTTATTTTGTTCTCTATTCTCTTCAACTCCACTCTCCCTCTCCCCATTCCTTTTTCTTTTCTTTTCTTTTCTTACACACACTCACTGTGTGTTTCTCTGTGTGTGTGTTTTACTATGAATATGCCTTATACAATGTTTCTTTACATATATATATATACACACACACACAGTGCAAAGAATATACTTTTTGTGTGAAGATGAAGAAGGTGGGGGTAACTAGTACTACTGAATGTATTATTATAATATGGGCAAATTACGACCATTCCTGAGGTACGATCAAATTACGAAATGTTGGCGTACCGAAATTAAATCATATATTCAGTTCGGTAATGATATGAAATGTTGGCGTACCGAAATTTCGGTTTGGTTTTACCAATTTAACATCACTAAATTTACCCTTTGAGGGGTTTTTTCGTAATTTTGAGCATAACTGAGGGGTGCTCGTAATTTGCCCTTATAATAATAATAAATAATAAAAAAAAAAAAGTAGCTAGGGTGTACTGAAAATTCCTTGTCTTCATAAATATAGAACGTGTTGTTCTTGGATTTTTTCTCTAGCAAGGGTCTTTATTACATCATATATATATTTATTTTTATTTAAATAATAATGTATTTTCTTTTCATATAATTGGGTCCTTTAGGCAATAGCCATGAAAGAAAAAATCTACTGTTTAATTTCTCTCTCTAATTATTTTCTCCATTTCCATATTTCCACTGTGCAAGAACCAAAGACTGAAATTCTGTCTTGTTTGACAGTACGTAGTAGTGTGTGTAATTTTCTTGGGTGAAAAAGTGAGACTCACGCGCTTTCCTTAGTGATATTTATTGGTTTGGTTGGTTTAATTTGTATGAAGGTGGATTCAAACTATGTGTCGATGCTTACATTAATTTGGACAAGAAACTTATACTTGTTTTACTTCACATTAAGAACTTAATTATTTGGGTAAATTACGGTCAACCCCCTCAGGTTAAGGTCAAATTATGAAATAACCCCTTATATTTGGGTAATTACAATTACCTCCCTCAACTATGTATCTTCTTACATGTCCCCCCTTATGGTGTCAAATTCGACATAATCTTCTAGATTATGTGGGAAAAAAACAGTTTCTAATGCACCACAATCTGATATTTACTAACCAAAAGACACATCTTTGATCATATTGTTTCAAAATGTGGAGCTCGAATGAGATGAAACAGGTACAAACTGGAGAATATTTCACATAATCTAGAACATTCCACTAAATTTGACGTGTAAGGGTGGACGCGTAAGAAAATTCATAATTGAAGGGTGTGGTTGTAATTACCCAAACATGAGGGGTGTTTTTGTAATTTAAACTTACCTTAGGGGGTGACTGTAAGTCTGTAAATATTATATATTTAGACCGTAAAACATAAGTGAAAATATATTTTCTCAAACTATTGTCTTATAAAAAATTACTAAAAAAAAAATTATTTATCAAGGTCAATTATTTTATTTTATTTTTTATTCTTCCTCCATTAAAAATTACAAGCCTCACTAATAAAATTCATCATAAATATTCATGAAGTGAACTTGGTTTTCACTTTACTTTTGCACCTTTAAATAACCAATGTGCAATCACATTCAACATGTGGTCTAATTTTGCATGAATTTATTTATATATTTCTAATATTTTATTACATATAACTATTTGTATATAAATATATTGGATCATTGTCATGTCGGGACCGTGTCTCCTAATATTTTCAAGATTGATTTGTTGCTATCATATTATATGTTTATGTTATATACATTATAGAGTTTGATGTGTAACTTATTTCTATATCATATTAAATGATAATTTATTCGAAATTAAATACATATTTAAAATTGTAATTTTTTATTTATTGTATTTTAATAATTTTGACAAACATATACTCTATTATTTAAACTTTTGTTTATTGCATGATGAAAGCTTGGGAATGACTTTATCAAGAAATCCCAATAATTGCCGAATTTCTAAAAAATCTTTATTTATTTAATTTAATTTAAATTTATTATAAAAAAGAATCATGAGTTTATATTGGCAAATGTAATGTCAATCTACATGTCGACCCACATGAATAAAATATCACCATGTCAAGTTCAATCTTACATAAGCCCCACTCATTGATTATTTTTTAAATTCTTTTGAAAAATGCTGCAAAAAAAAAAGGGGGTTTAAATAAATTATTTAAAAGATAAATAAAAAATACCTCACTCTTTGATTTCTCCTTTACATTTCTTTAAATTTTTCTCAAATAATTTTTTTTTGTCGCCTAAACTAATCGCACGTGGCAGAAGGCCGTTTACTATGGTGTTTGCAAAAAAAAATTAAAAAAAATAAGTTACTAATTGTGAATTAAGTTAATATTAAGTAACTCCTCATAAATATCGTCAATCAAATAAGTTAGTAACACATACTAATTAATTTTATTGTTAGCATAAGCATATATAATATTCCACTTTTCAACAAGTAGATGAATTTTGAATTTTGACACCACCAAAAGTTTTATTATTCAATTGGCAAACCTTAATAACCTTTAATTAATTCTTATGTTCAATAAGTTTACCCATCAGTCTCATCAAATTGGTGTCCACTATGCAAAGTTGAAAAAGAAAATCCCTCTTGTGTCAATCAAAATATGTCACATCCTTGCAAAATAAAATAATGTCATATATATATATATATATATGTATATATATTTTGACCCATATATATTTTTCATTTGGGCATCTTAGGAAATTTCAGAATCCAATTTATAACATTGATGTCTTTGTTTGCCTAGGAAAAAGTGGTGGTGCATATATTAGCTATTTTTAATCTATATTGTTATACATATACATGGTTATATATATATATATATATATATATATATATATATATATATATATATATATATATATATATACTAGCATTTTTCCCCGTGCGATGCACGGGTTATTATTTAAATAGTTAAAAAAAATAATCAATTTAATACATAATAAGAAAATATAGTACACTAATATAGTAAAATTTTAAAAATGTAGTATTATTCATATTTATATAACATTAGTTTTTTTTTTTCAATCTTACATATTAAGATTTATAATACAAATAAATTTACTAATAAATATTGGTAGCAAGACATTTTATCAATTAAGATTTGAGATATATTTGGACCACAAAAACTGAAAACATGAGAGAAAGGGATGCATGCATGAATTCAATTGTACAATATAATTGTATGTATAGATGGTCCATTTTTTTTTTTTTTTTAATTTATAGATACATACATGGTCCATGCTTTTTATTTATTAAACCGAAAACGTTAATACCGTGCCCAACTCGAAATGTATTTATTATTATTTTTTTTTAATTTATTATTTATTTATGTAAGATTGTAATGTACAACGTAACCAAATGCATGCATTCTACTTAAAGAAAGTATGAAGAATTAACATAATTGGCAAGACTGTCAACCCTTTTTACATTCTCACAAACAACCTTATTTGCTTGCCCTAAATTTACTACAAAGAGGTGTGCAAATAGGAAGTAGAGTTCAAATAGTAAACATTCAAGAATTGGAATGTTTGTATGTAGCATTTAAAAGTATAACACATATATATATGTGTAACACACACACACACACACACAAGCACATGTATACACACACTTGTATGTGTATATATATATATATATATATAGATATGGTGGGGGTGGAGGGGGGGTTCCACTATATATATATACATATAATAGTTTACATACATATAGCCATCTAAAGTGGGCTATGGTGTGGTTAGGGCTTTCCTTACAAAGAAGGGTTTTAAATGGTGCAAGTTGGAATTTTAATTGCAATTTTTCCCAATTTAAGCCAACCCTATTTCCTTATCAACTTAGCTAGCTTCATACAATTTGTACTCTCATGAAAATTGGTGGGGGTGGGGGGTGCATGGGGGTGTTAGGGGTGGTGGTCCATGCATGATGGTATTATTGTATAGTCGAGTTTTGAGTTACGTCATCGAATATGTTGTTGGTCGGGTAATGATATGTTACATCTGATTATCTATACATAATTACACACTCATAGCCGTTTATATGTATGTTTAGTGATTAATTACTTAATCAGATCTATTGTTGAAATTCACAAAATGTTAATAATCAGATATAGCATCTGACTTCGCTCGTTGCACTCACTCGCTATAGAGATTCAATGTGCAACATTAGACACGATTAATTATTTGTATATTGAGGGGTGCAAATTGCAATTATGTAAATGTTTACTTGCATGCATATGTATATATCTTTATTACCCAACGGAGTACACTTCGTACAAAAAAAAAAAAAAAAAGAAGAGCAAATTAAATTTAGGAAGGTCGGGTG